GCTCTGCTCCGCGGCGCCTCAGCTCCTCTGGACACTCACTCTTGCGATGGCCCGGCCGATTGCAAGCAAAGCAACGCCCCTTAAACGGCGCGGCAGCTGCATTTGTCGCAACGGCATATACGGTGGCGTGCTCGATCAGTCCCTGAGGGCGATGTCCGTAGTAGGACCCCGGTCTCGGACGGCGCAAAATGTCGATTTTCTCAGCGAGCGCGAGAATCTCGTTGAAATTCAAGAGTCCGCGTAGCATGATTTCGTGCAAGATGTCCGGCTTCAGCCCTCCGACGTAGCGGTCCACCCGCTCTGCTTCGTGCATGTAGCCGACTTGCTCGCATAATGCGAAAAAACTGCTCGTGTAGTCTTGGACCGACCCGAGCTGCCGCCAAGTGCGCAGTCTCTGGCGCGCCGAAAAAGAAGCCGCAATCGGCTCGAAGCGTGCCCGAAGCCCTGCGCACCACGCGTCCCACGTCCTGTACTGGGCGGTTTCGCAGAATGAACTCCATGTGACATCTAGGCCCGTGGGCCTATCTTCTTGCGACGGTGGCTCGTAGGTGCACGGCGACGTCACTATGACTCGCCACCAGTCCATGGTGGGGCCTCTCAGCAGCGAGATGGCGTATCGGATCTTCGCTGCGTCCGACTCGACGTAGTTCGCGTCGAAAAAGACGTTCATCGTGAAGACTCACGATTGAACCGTCGGACCTCCACGCTGGCTCGGGTCGAAGCAGGGCGGGCGCTGCGGCTTGAGTGGCATTGGTGCCATAATGGCGTGATCGTCACTTGTCGCCGCAAACTCCACGTGCCGACCGGCTTCACGAGGCTCCCACGGGCTTGGCGCGGCCCTGTTCCTCTCCATGCCAGGCATCGATTGGGCGGCGCCATCACTGGCTGCGCCTAAGCGCTGTCCCACACTATCATTTTGTGTGGGTGTGCCTGATGAAATGACGATCGGCTCCTCCGATTGTGCGGGTGCATTTGCAGGTGCGTGTGGTGGAGCTGGAGCATTCACCGTGGATTGCTGACGAGCGGAGTCGCGTTCCGCCGTAAGTGTCGCAATTTCGAGCGCCGAATCTTCGATTTGGCGCACGAGACGGTCGAGTTGCTCCTACGTCAGTGTCGCGAGAGTAAACTTGGCCATGGCAGGGGTGTTAGGCAAGCTCAACGAGAGCCTTTGTCGTGGCCGTGCGTGCTTACGTGAGAGCATTACGAGCGCCGGTGCTTGTTTTGCTGAGAGACGTCTACCCCCCAAACAATTGAGATAGTGGGGAAGCGAAGGTGTGGGTGCGGTCCGAGAAGAGATCGTAGGCTATGAATACCAAGTGTTACGAGTGCAATTGAGTGAACGAACGAGGGTTGCACTATCGAAGGAAGAGTACAATGAGCGAAGGCATGAGCGAAGAATATATAGCGAAACTACAGTGGTAACGGTAATGCGTGAAAATGGGATGCGCGACGGGCCTGCCGCCGAGGTTGGGAAATGACGAGGCGGAGGTCCGGAGCGCGGGTTACCAACCGAACCGTGAGGTTGGGTCGCGTCGTGAACAGTGGCGGGAACAGTGTCAGGGCGAATGTCGCGAGTGGTAACGGTTACTGTTGGGTGCTGTTGGCGGGATCAGTGTTGTACGCGCTGAGCGGGGACGAGAAGTATGGAAAAGGAATTTTCCTTACACTTGCGAATTCGTACATTCGGGACTCGCCATAGCGGGTGTATAACTCGCCTCGTCTGCCATGGCAAGTTATGTACTGGTCATAACATTCAAATTCAGGGCAACCGTGAGATGCGCGAGTTGTTGTTTCTGCGACTCGCGATGCCATGTTTCAGGTGGGAGCCACGTTATAAACAGCTGATTCCCACCCATATGCCCGTGGCTGGCGCGACCATCCAATCCCCGGTTTGCACAGACGCCAGCGCGTGTCCAAAGTGCCCACCATCATCCATTCCAACCATACGATCGACTGTCGATGTCCGTACATAAAAAAAAACCGGGCCTGAAAACAGGTGGTTTAGGTTCGGTTTTCTGTCCAACCAATGGAAATCCGTCGGAAAACTTTCAACTTGTTCCGACGGATTTCCAACGAGTGGCGCACTGGTTTTGTCACTAAATTTTCTATCGGTTTTCCATCTCAGAGAGGTTCGATGATTTCCGACGGCAAACAGATACAATTTCTGTCAGTTACGACTGAGGATGTATGCGCTTTTATAGTGTAATAACATTCAACAAAAAAAAAAAAAAAAAAGATACAATTTCTGGCAGATTTCCATCACCATCGCGCATGGGATGCAATTAGTAATTGCAATATTTTTGATACAGCGAAAACAGTGAAAACGGTACAGTTAGATGGCTTTCATATACATTCGTGTAATTCAGTGTTGTAAATGTTCATTTATCCGTATATATAAATGTATTTGAAATTTATATTTTTTTATTTGTTATTAAACGGGTATATTAAATGTGCCTACACATTAAATTTACTGAGTCAATAGAAGCAATAAATTCGGGAAACATGCTAGGCTACTGCAGAACAATAGTCGTCTTCTTGAATCCAGCTACGTAGTCACTAGCATCAATGAGGACGCCATTGCCGAACACAAACACGTCCCTACTGTCATCATAGCTCACGCCAAGGTTGGTGACCGCATGCTCCACCCATTTCCGGCACCACTTGACTTTGTCCTCATACAACGGCCTGTTGTAGTCGGGTTTGCTGCTCAACTTTCCATCGGCGGTCTTTGTCAAGATCGGGTATTCCAGCTGCAAGGCACGATAATGGCAATGAGTTTCTGGACTGGATGCAAATACAGAAACAAATTCAGAATCATGGTGCTTGTACTTACAGCGAACAATGCAAAGGCAATTTGGCGGGTCTTCCATACCCCCAGTGACATGCCTGATCTCACGAATGCAGCGAAAATTCCCGCACTGAAAATTTCGCTCGAAAAAGGCCACTTCGTTTCGTCGTCTACGTGCCAGTCCGGTCCCCATTCTTCTGTAAATTGGTAAAAGGGTGTTCAGGAAATGTAGGGAGTGGAGCAAGACACAATAAGTGCTCCGGGAGGCAGCGCAGAGGTGGCTTTCTCGACGGTGAAGGGAGCATGGGGCTGGAAATAAGGGGCAGGCGGAGAGGGTGAGAGCTTGTGTGCTCCCTCCAAGCGAGTATGGGCATGATAACGGGCATGGCAGACTCGCATGTGTTGTGTGCTCCCACCGAGCTAGCGTGGGCATGCTCGTGCGGCATGGCATGGGTGCCTGGACTGACGGGAAAGGGAGCAAGGGGCTGGAATCAAGGGGATTGGGGCGAGCGGAGGGAGTGAGAGCATGTGTTGTGTGCTCCCACCAAGCTAGCGTGGGCATGCTCATGCGGCATGGCATGGATGCCTCCACTGACGAGAAAGGGAGCAAGGGGCTGCCTGGATGCTCATGCGGCATAAGGTAGGGGCGAGATGGAGATGTGGGGAGAGGAGCAGGATATTCGCTGCCGTGCCTTGCCGTGGCTCTGCCAGGCACAGAGAAAGGCAGGGGCGGGACGGAGATGGGGGGAGAGGAGCAGGTTATTTGCTGCTGTGCCTTGCAGTGTCTCTGCCAGGCACAGGGAAAGGCAGGGGCGAGACGGAGATGGGTGGAGAGGAGCAGGTTAGGCGCTGCCGTGCCTTGCAGTGGCTCTGCCAGGCACAGAGAAAGGCAGGGGTGAGACGGAGATGGGGGGAGAGGAGCAGGTTAGGCGCTGCCGTGCCTTGCAGTGGCTTTGCCAGGCACAGAGAAAGGCAGGGGCGAGACGGAGATGGGGGGAGAGGAGCAGGTTAGGCGCTACTGTGCCTTGCTGTGGCTCTGCCAGGCACAGAGAAAGGCAGGGGCGAGACGGAGATGGGGGGAGAGGAGCAGGTTAGGCGCTGCCGTGCCTTGCAGTGGCTCTGCCAGGCACAGAGAAAGGCAGGGGCGAGACGGAGATGGGGGGAAAGGAGCAGGTTAGGCGCTACTGTGCCTTGCCATGGCTCTGCCAGGCACAGAGAAAGGCAGGGGCGAGACGGAGATGGGGGGAGAGGAGCAGGTTAGGCGCTGCCGTGCCTTGCCGTGGCTCTGCCAGGCACAGAGAAAGGCAGGGGCGAGACGGAGATGGGGGGAGAGGAGCAGGTTAGGCGCTGCCGTGCCTTGCCATGGCTCTGCCAGGCACAGAGAAAGGCAGGGGCGAGATGGAGATGGGGGGAGAGGAGCAGGTTAGGTGCTGCCGTGCCTTGCAGTGGCTCTGCCAGGCACAGAGAAAGGCAGGGGCGAGGCGGAGATGGGGGGAGAGGAGCAGGTTAGGCGCTACTGTGCCTTGCTGCGGCTCTGCCAGGCACAGAGAAAGGCAGGGGCGAGACGGAGATGGGGGGAGAGGAGCAGGTTAGGCGCTGCTGTGCCTTGCAGTGGCTCTGCCAGGCACAGAGAAAGGCAGGGGCGAGACGGAGATGGGGGGAGAGGAGCAGGTTAGGCGCTACTGTGCCTTGCCGTGGCTCTGCCAGGCACAGAGAAAGGCAGGGGCGAGACGGAGATGGGGGGAGAGGAGCAGGTTAGGCGCTGCCGTGCCTTGCCGTGGCTCTGCCAGGCACAGAGAAAGGCAGGGGCGAGACGGACATGGGGGGAGAGGAGCAGGTTAGGCGCTGCTGTGCCTTGCCGTGGCTCTGCCAGGCACAGAGACAGGCAGGGGCGAGACGGAGATGGGGGGAGAGGAGCAGGTTAGGCGCTGCCGTGCCTTGCCGTGGCTCTGCCAGGCACAGAGAAAGGCAGGGGCGAGACGGAGATGGGGGGAGAGGAGCAGGTTAGGCGCTGCCGTGCCTTGCAGTGGCTCGCCGTGCCTTGCAGTGGCTCTGCCAGGCACAGAGAAAGGCAGGGGCGAGACGGAGATGGGGGGAGAGGAGCAGGTTAGGCGCTGCCGTGCCTTGCAGTGGCTCTGCCAGGCACGGAGAAAGGCAGGGGCGAGACGGAGATGGGGGGAAAGGAGCAGGTTAGGCGCTACTGTGCCTTGCCATGGCTCTGCCAGGCACAGAGAAAGGCAGGGGCGAGACGGAGATGGGGGGAGAGGAGCAGGTTAGGCGCTGCCGTGCCTTGCCGTGGCTCTGCCAGGCACAGAGAAAGGCAGGGGCGAGACGGAGATGGGGGGAGAGGAGCAGGTTAGGCGCTGCCGTGCCTTGCCGTGGCTCTGCCAGGCACAGAGAAAGGCAGGGGCGAGATGGAGATGGGGGGAGAGGAGCAGGTTAGGTGCTGCCGTGCCTTGCAGTGGCTCTGCCAGGCACAGAGAAAGGCAGGGGCGAGACGGAGATGGGGGGAGAGGAGCAGGTTAGGCGCTACTGTGCCTTGCTGTGGCTCTGCCAGGCACAGAGAAAGGCAGGGGCGAGACGGAGATGGGGGGAGAGGAGCAGGTTAGGCGCTGCTGTGCCTTGCAGTGCCTCTGCCAGGCACAGAGAAAGGCAGGGGCGAGACGGAGATGGGGGGAGAGGAGCAGGTTAGGCGCTGCCGTGCCTTGCCGTGGCTCTGCCAGGCACAGAGAAAGGCAGGGGCGAGATGGAGATGGGGGGAGAGGAGCAGGTTATTCGCTGCCGTGCCTTGCACTCTCTCTGCCATCTCATGTGCTCACCACTCTCTCTGCCATCTCATGTGCTCACCACTCTCTCTGCCATCTCATGTGCTCACCACTCTCTCTGCCATCTCATGTGCTCACCACTCTCTCTGCCATCTCATGTGCTCACCACTCTCTCTGCCATCTCATGTGCTCACCACTCTCTCTGCCATCTCATGTGCTCACCACTGTCTCTGCCATCTCATGTGCTCATCACTCTCTCTGCCATCTCATGTGCTCACCACTCTCTCTGCCATCTAATGTGCTCGCCACTCTCTCTGCTATCTCATGTGCTCACCCCTCTCTCTTCCATCTCATGTGCTCACCACTCTCTCTGCCATCTCATGTGCTCACCACCCGCTTCGCCCATTTGAATGCCCTAAACCCATGAACACGCCCATTTCACTGCCCTCCCAGAACACTCGCCCATTTCACTGCCCTCTCATGAACACGATCATTTCACTGCCCTCCCATGAACACGCCCATTTCACGGCCCTCCCATGCCCTCACCCTTTCACTGCCTTCTCATGCACTCACCCATTTCACTGCAACGACGCTTCTCATTTCCAAACCCTAAACCAGATTGATTCATTTATTTCAAACATCCTCCTCACTCTATGCCTGCAGTCTTCACTATGCCTGTGGGACGCTTTTGGGAAGCCGTGGGAAAATCCATACCTATGCATTATGCCGGACATAATGCATCAAGCCGATTTGGGGATTCTACACCACCTTGTCTCTGCCATCTGCGCCACTTACAGCTGGTTTCTTCCCTTGTTCAACAGGTGAGTGTACGGTGTTGCTGGATCAGTCATGTCGGCTGTCGTAACTAAGGGCCAATTTTCAGATTGCTGTGACATATGAGTGGGGCAGTGCATCAGAAACTTCCTGTGTATTCTGTAACCATGTTCGTTTGTGTCATGCTCAGGCGCTTGAAAACTCTTAGAGAGGGCATTCGCATGACTCATCTGCGGCTCCCCAACTCCACGTACTTCGTGTCCGATGCGCAAGTGGCGGCGTTCGAGCACCGATCTGTCCTGCAGGCAAGTGTATTGAATGTGTGACCGTTTGATAGCAACTACCCGGCCCCTCCAACGCTTGAACTGTTACTCGCTCCATGTCAAAGGAATATTTACCCTGAACTTTGTATTCCCTAAATCATATTCACAGGTGCTGATTTTTGTGGTCGCGGACAAGCTTGGGGACCTGCAGTTGAGTGCCATTCGAGCATACCTTGAGTGGTATCTGTACTGCGCACGGCTCCCAGGGCACACGGAGAGCACACTGCAGCATTTGCAGGAACTGACGGACGAGTGAGCTCTCGCCATTTCCCCGCTCATGCATAGTCTTGTGCTCATGTGATCCTTAGTTTGTGTTATACAGGTGCCCTAGGCATAAGTTTTTTTTAGCAACATGCACACATTGGGTTCTGAACAGTGCACACTCCTTCATCATACCATGCTGGTTTTGAGTGCTTTGTTACCCTTCCATTTACAGGAGTGACATAATCCAGGAGGGTAGGAGGGCCAGAGGCATGCGTGGGGCTCTGTACATGGGTCGTTGTTTACAGCGTACACCTCAATCCACACTCCTAGCCTTACAAGCCCTTTGTATGACCTTCTTACCTTGCAACTGACAGGTAAAAGGAGAGCCGGATGGAGGGAGTGGCATAGGTGTACAAGAGGGGGCTCTGTTTTTGTTGCCATCTCTCAAATCCTTGCCCTTCTTTCCGTGGCCTCACAGGTAAAGGAGAGCCGGATGGAGGGCATGAGCAGAAGGCACCAACCCCACTCTTCTGTGGCAATACCAGTGCCATCTCCATGGCCAAGAACGCGGTACTACATGGGCTTACCAAGCACATGGGCATCAAGTGGCATTGGCTGCGCAAGGAAGTGCAGAGGGGAACCCTTGAGCCTCTCTACGTGAAAACGCAGCAGCAGCCGGCTGATTTCCTCACGAAGCGGCTGGCTGAGGAACCTCATTGGCGCTGTGCTAAGCTGAGTGGCATGAGCTTTAACTAGGCTCATGAATGTGAGTGCAAGCAGGCGACTGCTTGAGGGGGAGTTTGTTGGGTGCAAATATTTATTTTTTGCACGTCAACCAGCCGCCTGCGTCGCATTTTGCATATTTGTGTGTGTGCGCATTTTTCATTTTCATTTTGTGAACGTTCTGTGCGCATTTGTTCTTGCGTTTTGTGTGTTTCGTTTTTATTCATAAGTGCATTTTGTGTTTTTTCATTTTCAGCTTCGTTATCACTGTTCTCATGAAGCTCCCATGAAGCGCTGAAATGAGGCCCTCATGACGCGCTTAAATGAGACTCATGCGAAGCTCTCAAATGAGACTCATGCGAAGCTCTCAAATGAGACTCATGCGAAGCTCTCAAATGAGGCTCAAATGAAGACCTTATGGAGCTCAAACGAAGCTCGCATGGGACTTGAATGTTTCATGCGAGGCTCATGCGAGCGACCATGAAAGTCCCATGAGTCTCGAATTTTCATGCGAGACTTATTGGAGCCTCATGTGAGCGGGTGGTGTACCGAGGGGTGCTCGGTTCTTTGACTGGTCAAGAGGTGCCTTGACTTTTCTCGCGCTGGTCAAAAGCGCGAAAGTCAAGACCCGATCGTGGGTCAAGGCACGCGCGTGTGGGACCACAGAGCACGCGCGTGTGCTGCGTACTGTTGCGAGCGTGCTGTACAGCACGATCGCAACAAGACAGGGCCCATTTCGGCCCTGTCCCGTACTGTACACGCGCATGATTACGATCATGGCGCGCTGTACAGCACGACCGAGAAAAAATCTCGGTCGTGCGTGTGGCACGAGGGGTGCTCGGAATTTACAGTTGAAAAACCGTTTTCCAAGTTGACTCACGGGACGGGAAATTTCTCGCGAAAGTCATTTCGCTTTGCGGAATCATTTCGACACAGGTGCAAATCGGTTACTCCGTTTTTCAAACGGTAAAAACCGTTATACAACTGTGAGCTCGCATGAAGACATTTGAGCTACATTGGAGCAACATGCGAGTCTCGTGAGTGTACACGTTTGAGTCAGCAGGGGTGATTGTTACAAGTGCAATTTGAAGACAGTTTTTAACAACAGGAGGATATAGCCAAATGCTCAAGGAGTTGTGCAACTGTTTTCAAGATATAGCGTGGCGAAATCCTGCGAGCCAGTTAAACAACTGTTTTCTAGTTGCTCCTGCCTGTGTGTAGAATCTATATAAATGTGTACTTGTACCTGTCAAAATTAATCTAATGCATTTGCGTTTTTCAAGCTCGCATTCTACTACTTCGTATTGACGAGAGTATAAATATTACCTTGGTGTTGCCGAAACTCTTCTCGACCAGTTTGCTCGTCCTACAAGCTGAGCAAGGCATAACTACTCACTTGCTAATTTCTACGCCCTTGGCTAGGAGGTGACAAGCTGTCACACTCGAAGGGCTGCAAGTGATGTTACGTGTTGCCGAGCAAAGTTTGTAGTTCAAGCTTTAGTCGCTTCCGCATAACGTTATAGCTGTCAACACATGGTATCAGAGCTGGTAATTAGTCGTTTTTAACGTATCCAACGATGGGGTCGCCTGGAAGAAGGGAATTCAGCTCCCGCGAGTAGTGGCAGCCAGGAATCTGGAGTCTCCGCGCCTAGGGTAGCACGGACGAACCAGGGCCCACTACTAAGGGAAGTGCTGAAAACGTTCTCCGTCGACAAGTTCAGTGGTGAAGGGTACGACGACTGGTCTTGGAAGATGCAGTTATACTTTCGGCAAATAGGACTCCTCAAAGTCATGATCGGTAGTGAGAAACGCCCTAGCAACCCGGAGCTTCAGGGTGATTGGGACGAACGTTCATCAGCTGGATACTATATCCTTTCTCAGTGCCTCGATCTTGCTCAACGCCAGCACATTATGCACCTACTCCCAGAGGATGAGTGCGGACCCAAGGCGTGGACCGTGCTTAAGGACCTTCATGCACCTACCTCCGTTGTAGCCACCCTCATGTTAGAGAGAGAGCTCTCCACCCTGCGCCTCAGTGAAGGAGAACCTGTCCAACCCGTCCTTGATAAGCTCAGAGGTCTCTACGCAAAGCTAGCCATTGTTGGCATAACCTACCCCGAGCAAACAAAATGTGTAAAGATGCTGTCGCTGCTGCCAGAATCGTGGATGGTCTTCAGCAGCGGCCTCAGCCTTCCCCAAAACCAAAGCTTCTGGACTCTGGAGTGGATTCGTACCAAGATACTCGAGGAAGACTTCCGGAGGCGTCAGTTGAGGGGAGGAGAGGAGGGAAGCAGCAGCTATGCAATGCAAGGTGGTAAGAGGGGTAGAGGCAAGAAATGGCAAGGGACTGGGAGAGGAGCTTCAAAGGATGAGGAGACTTCTAACCAGCAAGGCGGTAGAGGAGCAGGACGTGGTGGAGGCCGAGGTGGCAGAGGTGGTGGAAGGGGACCTGGGAGAATGGAAGGCAAGTGTTGGTATTGTGAGAAAGTGGGTCATTCGTGGTTTAAATGCAGGACCAAACCCACCAAGTGGACCCCCTCCAACAGGACTCAAGATGGGAGCGGCACCGGAGCGGTTGCCGATGATGAACCGGCTGAACAAGAGGAGACGGAAGCCGGTCAGTTCTTCCACGTTGGTGAGCCGGATGAGGTCGCAGTAATCGCCCATGCTGGAGCCGAGCTGCACCCGCTCAACACGTGGATCTTGGACACAGGAGCAGCATGGACTATGACGCCAAGGGCTGACCTCCTGGACAATGTGGGGGCAGCACCGATTGCTAAAGTGAAGTCGGCTTCCGGGCATGCGCTCAAGGTGACGGGGGCGGGGCGCGCTGCATTCAAGGGAGCTGACCGCAAACCGGTGGTGCTAAGTGATGTGCTGCTGGTACCTGATTTGAAGGCAAACCTCATCTCCCTGAGGAAGTTAGGCAAGTGCGGGGTGAGCACAAGTACCGAGGGCGCCAAAACGTTCAAGGGGCAGCCGGGAAAGCGGATGCTTTGGGACTTGCATGAGGATAAGGACATATGCAAGTCCATGTGGCAGCTGCCGGTGGTGCCCTGGGATAAAGGGAATGGCTTCCAGGGGGAGTGCAACGCTGTAGCTGCAGAGGAGCTGAAGGTTTCAGCAAGGGGAGGCGAAACGGACTGGATGACAGCCCACCATCGCCTCGGGCATATTGCTATGCCCGCACTGCAGCAACTGCACAAGGATGAAGGGGTTAAGGGGCTAAAGCTGACAGGTGCAGCAGCAACCCACAAGTGTGAAACTTGCCTGTTGAGCAAGTTCACTCGGTTCCCATTCCATGCAACTGAGGGTGGCGGCAAGAAACCGCTTGAGTTAGTGCACATGGACGTGGTGGGGCCGCTGCCAGTGGTGGGGGAGCGTGGTGAGAAGTTCTTCCTCACCATCGTGGACGACTGGAGCCGAGTGACATGGGCATACCCCATCAAGAAGAAGGACCACGTGCCAGTGATAATCCGTGATGAATGGCTGCCGTTAGTGGAGAAGCAGTCCCAGCACAAGGTGATGCGTATTAGGACGGATAGGGGTGGAGAATTCCTTGGGGAGGAGCTGACTACGTGGTTGAAGAAGCAGGGCATCATTCGGGAACTTACCACCTCCTACACACCACAATCCAACGGCGTAGCAGAACGGGCAAACCGCACGGTCTTGGAGACAGCACGGGCTCTTCTCATCGAATCAGGTTTGGGAACTCCAAGTGGCCACATGCTATGCGCCACGCCACGGTGGTGAAGAACAAGGTGTTCACCAACGTCGGTGGTGAGTCATGGGTCCCCATGGAGAGGTGGCTGGGGAGGAAGCCACCCATTGACATGCTGCGTGTATTTGGCTGCATGGCTGTGGCTCATATCCCCAAAGCACATCGCAACAAGCTGGGCGCAACAGCTGTGTGGTGTGTGCATCTGGGTTTGGCAGCGGAAAGCAAAGGGTGGCTGCTATGGGAGCCGAGCAAGGGAGTCGTATTCGACAGTAGGGATGTCAAATTCATGGAAGACATCACCTATGGGAGCTGGTCCAAGCAACCAAAAGAGCAGCTCGTGCAGCAACTGCAGCAGGCAACCATGGGCTTTGAGGTGGAGGAGGAGTGGGCTGAGGAGGAGATTGCAACGGCACATGAGGAGGGTGCAGCAGAACTCCCCGTGGTTAAGAGTGTGGAGTCAATTGCTGAACCTGAAGAACCCCATAACACGTCCCATCCCATAACACGTGTCATTCCCCCCACTCTCCCCCCAAGGAGAACCCAAACCAAACCCCAACCCACAGGACGAACCTTCTCATGTATGATGACGCAGCAGATGCGAGCTGCTGCCTTGAAGGCGAAGGCAAGGGGTGAAGGAGGAACAAGGGGAGAGCAGCAGCAACTTGATGCATTACTGGTGCTGGAGAGCAGCTGTGATTCTGATGAGGAAGCTCAGGAGGAGGTATACTGCTTCATGGCACCTGCACCGACTCAGCCACTGACCATGGAGGAGGCCCTTAATGGACCAGATAGGGACAAGTGTCTAGTGTCACGAGATGCTGAATATAACAGTCAAATGGAGAATAGGACGTGGGAGTTGGTGCCACTGCCATTGGGAAAGAAAGCCATAAGTTGTGGCTGGATTCCTAGGATCAAAACTGACAACAACGGGGCAGTATCAGTTTACAAGAGCAGGCTGGTTGCAAGGGGTTACCAACAGAAAGAAAGGGAGGACTACAAAGAGACCTTTGTTGCAACTGCGAAGCCGCCAACACTGCGTGTTTTACTTGCCGGTGCAGCCGTGTGTGGGTGGGTGATAGTTCAGATGGATATAACCACCGCCTTTCTTTATGGGCTGATAGATGTGGAGGTGTTCATGTCGCAGCTGCCGGGTTATGAGGATGGTACCGGGCGTGTGTGCAAGCTGAAGAAGGCCATTTATGGCTTCAAACAAGCACCACGTTGCTAGTACAAGAAGCTGTCTTCGGTGTTAGAGGAGATGGGCTTAGGGCGAGTGCATGTGACGAGAGCCTTTTCCTCATGGGGGAGAAGAAGACCCTCGTCATGTTCCTAGTCTATGTCGACGACATCCTGCTGTTCGGGAGTAGCAAGCAGGAGGTGATGAAGGTGCAGCAGAATCTGATGCAAAATTTCAAGTGTAAGACACTGGGGGAGGCAAATTACTACTTGGGCATGCACATCGAGAGGGACATCAGCAATGGGTGGGTGAAGCTGCACCAGGAGAAATACATCAAGGACATGGGGCAGAAGTATGAGATTGAAGTCAGGAGGAAGGTTGTCACACCACTTCCATCCGAGTTCAAGCTCGTAAAGGCAGGAGAGAATGAGGGGGTGGATCAGCGAGAGCAAGCACGATTTCAGTCCGTGGTAGGGAGCTTGCTTTATGCAGCAGTGCACATCAGGCCGGACATATCATTTGCAGTGGGGCAGTTGGCTAGGGTGGTGCAGAATCCAACCGAAGAGCAGGTGGATGCAGCTGATCGAATCATCCAGTACTTGAACTCCTACCCCACTGTTGGAGTTCAGTACTCTGCTATGGCACAAAGGAAGCAAAAGGGAGTAGAAGTTCTCAAGGAGAAGGGGGAGCATTTGGGAGAGAGGGAGCTTTTCTTACAGGTTTTGCTGATGCATCATGGGCTTCAGAGAAAGAGGACATGTCTTCAGTAGGTGGATACCTGTGTGTGATTGGGGGAGGACCTGTGAGCTGGAGGTCGAAGAAGCAAGTTGAAACTGCAGGATCGTCTGCTGAAGCTGAGTACATGTCAATGTACCATGTGGCCAAGGAGCTGGTTTGGCTACGCAAGCTGCTGGAGGAGATTGGGCATGAGCAAAAGGCACCAACCCCACTCTTCTGTGACAATACCAGTGCCATCTCCATGGCCAAGAACGCGGTACTACATGGGCTTACCAAGCACATGGGCATCAAGTGGCATTGGCTGCGCAAGGAAGTGCAGGAGGGAACCCTTGAGCCTCTCTACGTGAAAACGCAGCAGCAGCCGGCTGATTTCCTCACGAAGCGGCTGGCTGAGGAACCTCATTGGCGCTGTGCTAAGCTGAGTGGCATGAGCTTTAACTAGGCTCATGAATGTGAGTGCAAGCAGGCGACTGCTTGAGGGGGAGTTTGTTGGGTGCAAATATTTATTTTTTTTGCACGTCAACCAGCCGTCTGCGTCGCATTTTGCATATTTGTGTGTGTGCGCATTTTTCATTTTCATTTTGTGAACGTTCTGTGCGCATTTGTTCTTGCGTTTTGTGTGTTTCGTTTTTATTCATAAGTGCATTTTGTGTTTTTTCATTTTCAGCTTCGTTATCACTGTTCTCATGAAGCTCCCATGAAGCGCTGAAATGAGGCCCTCATGACGCGCTTAAATGAGACTCATGCGAAGCTCTCAAATGAGACTCATGCGAAGCTCTCAAATGAGACTCATGCGAAGCTCTCAAATGAGGCTCAAATGAAGACCTTATGGAGCTCAAACGAAGCTCGCATGGGACTTAAATGTTTCATGCGAGGCTCATGCGAGCGACCATGAAAGTCCCATGAGTCTCGAATTTTCATGCGAGACTTATTGGAGCCTCATGTGAGCGGGTGGTGTACCGAGGGGTGCTCGGTTCTTTGACTGGTCAAGAGGTGCCTTGACTTTTCTCGCGCTGGTCAAAAGCGCGAAAGTCAAGACCCGATCGTGGGTCAAGGCACGCGCGTGTGGGACCACAGAGCACGCGCGTGTGCTGCGTACTGTTGCGAGCGTGCTGTACAGCACGATCGCAACAAGACAGGGCCCATTTCGGCCCTGTCCCGTACTGTACACGCGCATGATTACGATCATGGCGCGCTGTACAGCACGACCGAGAAAAAATCTCGGTCGTGCGTGTGGCACGAGGGGTGCTCGGAATTTACAGTTGAAAAACCGTTTTCCAAGTTGACTCACGGGACGGGAAATTTCTCGCGAAAGTCATTTCGCTTTGCGGAATCATTTCGACACAGGTGCAAATCGGTTACTCCGTTTTTCAAACGGTAAAAACCGTTATACAACTGTGAGCTCGCATGAAGACATTTGAGCTACATTGGAGCAACATGCGAGTCTCATGAGTGTACACATTTGAGTCAGCAGGGGTGATTGTTACAAGTGCAATTTGAAGACAGTTTTTAACAACAGGAGGATATAGCCAAATGCTCAAGGAGTTGTGCAACTGTTTTTAAGATACAGCGTGGCGAAATCCTGCGAGCCAGTTAAACAACTGTTTTCTAGTTGCTCCTGCCTGTGCGTAGAATCTATATAAATGTATACTTGTACCTGTCGAAATTAATCTAATGCATTTGCGTTTTTCAAGCTCGCATTCTACTACTTCGTATTGACGAGAGTAGAAATATTACCTTGGTGTTGCCGAAACTCTTCTCGACCAGTTTGCTCGTCCTACAAGCTGAGCAAGGCATAACTACTCACTTGCTATTTTCTACGCCCTTGGCTAGGAAGTGACAAGCTGTCACACTCGAAGGGCTGCAAGTGATGTTAAGTGTTGCCAAGCAAAGTTTGTAATTCAAGCTTGAGTCGCTTCCGTATAACGTTATTGCTGTCAACACCGTGCCCTCACCCTCCTCTCTTCCCTCTCATGCCCTCGCCCTCCTCTCTTCCCTCTCATGCCCTCACCCTCATCTCTGCCCTCCCATGCCCTCACCCTCCTCTCTTCCCTCCCATGCCTTCACCCCCCTCTCTTCCCTCTCATGCCCTCGCCCTACTCTCTGTCCTCCCATGCCCTCACTCTCCTATCTGCCCTCCCGAACCGTCACCCTCCTCTTTTCCCTCCCATGCCGTCACACTCCTCTCTGCCCTCCCATGCCCTCACCCTCCTCTCTGCCCTCCCATGCCCTCACCCTCCTCTCTGTCCTCCCATGCCGTCACCCTCCTCTCTGTCCTCCCATGCCCTCACCCTCCTATCTGCCCTCCCGAACCGTGTCCCTCCTCTCTTCCCTCCCATGCCGTCACCCTCCTCTATGCCCTCCCATGCCCTCACCCTCCTCTCTGCCCTCCCATGCCCTCACCCTCCTCTCTTCCCTCTCATGCCCTCGCCCTCCTCTCTTCCCTCTCATGCCCTCACCCTCGTCTCTGCCCTCCCATGCCCTCACCCTCCTCTCTGTCCTCCCATGCCGTCACCCTCCTCTCTTCCCTCTTATGCCCTCACCCTCCTCTTTGACCTCCCATGCCCTCACCCTCCTCTCTGCCATCCCATGCTCCCACCCTCCTGCTCTGCCCTCCCATACACTCACCCTCCTCTAAACCCTCATCAACCTCCCTGGTCTAAGGTCTTCCGCGTTCCCGAATTCATATCCGAGTCCCCACTCACCCTACCATAGGCGATGGACACAGGACGAGCGTTCTTGATGAGGGAATCCGAAGCACTTGCAGTTTCTCCTGCAAGTGACCCGACATCCGCTAAGTTCTTCGCATCACGGTGGTCGCGGCAGCACCCAAGTGCACACAGAGCATTGCAGAATGCTCTTGCAGATTACGGCTGTACCGCGCAATCCATTCAAGTATGTTTCATGGTTTTCATTGTGTTTTTTTTTTTGTTTATTATGTTGTATTTCTGTTCCGCATTTGTTAAGCAACATAATCCTCACACGTACACATACTAATGCGTCTTGCGTGGACTTGTGGCAGACCCACACAACAATGGCAGTGCCAGTGTCAACTGACAAGAACGCCTCAAGGGTAGCTCATTTCGTGAGAGCAACCCCCGAGTGCCATAAGAGACCTTGGTATTCACACATCGCTGTTTGGTGTGATGGCGAGAGAGTGGCCTACACAAAGCTGTTGTTGCTATTCCATTGTTTCATTGAAGGACAACGCCATGATCTTGCATACGTAAATTTCTATAGAACAGCGGACATGGACGCAAAGATTGGATGTGTGCGGTTGAGTTCGTACAATCCCCGCGCGTTCACCGTCATCCCCATTGATTCTATTCTGGGTCATGTCCACGTTGTGAAGTCTTTTGATCCTACTAAGGACGCGTCACCTCCCTCGATCGATCGTGCAAAATCGAGGAAGATCGATTGTCCACCGCACTAAAATCCCGCGTTTTGCGTTTAAATTTGTTTGAAAACTTTATGAACCGAATCAAAAATCGATCCTGCGCAGGATCGATCGAGGCAGGTGACGCGTCTTAATGTTGATGTATACTTCATGAATAATTTAGTGAAGTATCCAATTCTTTAAGCATCTGACATTTATGAGTCGTCACCGATAATTATTTTATCAGATTCAACATCTGGTTATTTTACCAATTAGCTCATACTTAGACATAACCAGGAACCTTAAAAGGAGATGTAAACCCTTGGCATCCAACCAATTGGCAATTAAAATTATTTGAATGTTCCTTATTAACAATTAGAAACATATACGGAGCAACAGGGGTATTGCGTATAGTGTACGCATCTCTATTATTTCAATTATGCATCAGCATTACACCACTATTCCTGGCTTGGAATTCCCACCTGAAATCCGACGGAAATCAGGTGATTCCGTTTGACACTTGGTTCATCTCTGACGCGACTCGGAAGCCTTTTTCAAATCTTGGCGAGACTCAGCCTGGCTGACGGGTTTCCATCCGAAAGTCGGTGAATTCACGGTTGGAAAACCACTGGAAAACCAGTGGCCCATTTTTGTCGCGTGCAACCTTTCGGAACCTCCAACACCGAACCAGGTTTTTTGTGATGTAGCTTGTGGCGTATCAACAGAAAACGGGGCGCATGTAGGATGCATCCTCCCACTCCCTTGGCCGCCATTCGCGGCGTGGCGCCTGGCAGGCATACCCTGCGATGCGGTGAAATGACAGAGGCTCGCGCCCTGGCGATGTTGTGGTCAGTTCGCGGAACGTTTATACTTAGCGTGTGGTTGTAGCTTGCGGCGGTGAGTATCTTGCAGTCTAGGCTCTCGGGTAAAGAAGATCTTGCACATCTGCTCCTTAGTTTTCACTCACATGGTTTTTTTTAACAAAGATAGCACGCGATCGAAGTGCTAAGTCTTGCCGCAGTTGCTTCTCTGCTACTGATATACCTAAAAAAAAAAATCCAATTCGGTTCCTACAGTCGTCAGGCTCAGGATGGTTCGTGCTAGGAAGACAATCACAGCACCCCAGCTCATCACTTCCCTCCTCGTCGCATCGCTCCTTGGGATGATCTGCGGTCTCGCGACTGTCGCGGCGTCGAAACTGGACGATGCCATCAACCGGGCGAACGCGATACGATAGTAGTTTCACCTGGATAGTACAAGCTCAGCATGTTCCGTAGTACATTAAGAGTAGGGAGCTTACGCGCAGCCATGAGAGGGATCTCCTTGTCACGAGCTATTACGAAAAGCTAGTCCAATCGAAACGACTCACATCGCGACGAAGTGGGGCGCAACACAAATTGCTGACGACAGATGTGTCGCGGGACAAGGTTCTTATCCTCCTGTATGCGATGGTTATTTCAGGTGTTTCAAAATTCTAGCGACGACGTAGAATAGATAGAAACACCGCTAATAGTATGGTGTGATAGCCTCTCAACCTAATTCAAATGAATGAGGGAGTTACATAAATTCAAGCACGTCCACCCTTGCGTGTGTGTGTTTGTGTGTATCCACGTGGCGTGGGTGTGTGTCCACATGGCGTGAATTTAGAGAGAAGCAAGCGCGTCGCCCACAGAGCTCGTTCTTAAATCCAACGTGCATCTCAAAGCGTGAGTTCCCCATGAATCCACGTCTGCCACATGTCGCTTCTCGCCACGTGTGCGCTTGCCCCCTCGTGCCTAAAAACGCCGGTTACTTTGGTACCGACCGCATACACCTCGCCTCCCATCAACGTGTATTATTTCCTCATTTTGAGCCCACTCCCTCTCGTCTCGCCTTGCTTGAGTCGACTGCACTCTCTTCCTACTCCCCTTTCCATGAGCCCTTCCCCCTCTCTATTCACTCGCCCCTCCACCCTCCTCCTCCCCCTCGCTCCCCCCTCTCCGCCCGACCCCCTTCTTTCCCCCATTACACCTTCCCCCTCCTCTCCTCCCCCAGCGCCCTCCCCGCACTCTCCGGCGCGGCCAAGCTGACCATCATTGGCAATTGTACCTCCGCCAAGTTTGTAACAAAGTTACCCGTTGTTGGCTAGGGTTACTGTTAGGAACGGCCAGTTCAACGGGTCAGGTTGGTGATCTGGACCCCGCTCTGGCTCATACTGTCACAAGAAGGCGCATTTACTTGACTCTCACAATCATTGTCAGGGTTCCCCGGCGGGTTACAGGGTTACCAGCTATAGGATGCAGCGACATTATAAACCATCCTCTTGCACCTTTCCCCCCACCCTCCCCTTCCTCCGTCCCCCCCCTCACCCCCCACCCACACCCCCAACCCCAACACCAGGTGCATCATCAGCGGGGGTGGCGCCTTCCCCATATTCACCTCCCCCTCGTCCGGCCCCACAGGGGGAGAGTTGACTCTGGTCAACCTCAACTTCCAGCGGGCGGCAGGAGGCGTCTTTTTCAACGTGCGGGCGGCGATCAACGCGAGTCAATGCGGATTCGTCGGAAGCACGGCTCCTAGCGTTGGCGGAGGGGTGCTCAGGTGAGGGGAATGGAGTGTTTGCGGGGCAGATGAGAGGGTGAGATGGGTGCTCAGGTGAGGGTCAAAGCAGTGCTAAGCAGCTTCATCAGCAACACGACTTCAAGCGTTGGCGGAGGGGTGCTCAGATGAGAGTGATGGGGAGAAGAGGAGGGGTGTGCACATGAGAGTGATGGGGAGAAGAGGAGGGGTGGTCAGGTGAGGGTGATGGGAAGAGGAGGAGGGGTGCGCAGGTGAGGGTCCACGCCACTGTATGCGGGCTTGGTTCACAACAGGGGTCCTAGCATTGGCGGAGGGGTTTTCAGGTGAAGGGGGTGGACTGTTGGGGGTATGATGAGGGAGAGAGAAGGAAATTTGGGTGTGAGTGATAGAAGGAAGATGAGGGAGCGAGAGGAGTGCTTAGGTGAGTGTGTGTGGGGCATGTGAGAGAGTGAGTGGTGCGGCAAAGAGTGTGTGTTGTGCGGCTGAGAGTGTGTGCGGTGCGGCTGAGAGTGTGTGAGTTGCCCACGTGAGTGAGTGCGTGCTGCACGTGAGAGTGTTTGTGTGGTGCGCGTGAGAGTGTGTATGGTGCATGTGAGAGTGCGTATGTTGCATGTGAGAGTGCGTATGGTGCACGTGAGAGTGCGTATGGTGTGCATGGAATCATGCTACATCAACGGGAGGCCTGCTCAAGTGTTGTTTGACGCGACTCAAAATTGTCTGTCTAACCTAATGGGATTTTGTGACTGATGGGCTCCTAACTCACTCCCCATTGCCTCCTATCAACGCTTCCCTCCCCTCCTCCCCCCCTTTCAACATCTCCCCAACCCACCAGCAACTCCTCCTCACCAACAGCCATCACTCCCCCACCACCTCTTCCCTCGTTGCACCTTCCACAGAAGCAAACCTCACTCCCTTAACACACTCTCCTCTATCCCCCACCCACCCCAACCCACCAGTGACTCCTTCCCTGAAGCAGCAACCCCTACCAACCGCTTCTTCTCGTACTGCACCTTCTACAACAACACAGCACCCACTGGGGAGGGAGGTGCAATCAACATCAACGAGGGGAACCCCGAGGGCAGCGGGCCTAATGTGACGTTCGTGTACTGTGTCTTTCAAAACAACACGGCAACTGTTGGGAAGGGTGGTGCCATTAGCATTAACTTGGGGGATCCCTAAGGCAGTGCGGCTAATGTGACGTTTGTGCACTGCCGCTTCCGAAACAACATCGCGTACCAAGCCAGTGGAGGAGCAATGACAGTGGCAGGAAATGGCGACATTCGGTGCATGAAGTGTTCGTTTGAAGGGAATTTCGCTGGTGAGTGAGTGAGTGTGTGTGTGTGTGTGTGTGTGTGTGCGTGCGCGCGCGCGTGCGTGCGTGCGTGCGTACGTGCGTGTGTACTTGCGTGCATGCGTGCGTGTGTACTTGCGTGCGTGGTGCATGCGTATGTGTGTTTGTGTGAGTGCACACGAGTGACTGCGTGCGTGCGTGCGTGAGTGCGCACGTATATGTGCGTGTGTGTCTGTTACCCTTTGAGTCTTCTCCGAAGCCAACCCGGAGAGAGTCTGACCCATCCAAAGCCAACCCGGAGTTTTGTGTATTCGGTGGGCGGTCCTGTCAGTGCCACAGACCTTTCTAGCATGGCTAAAGATCTGGTACAGTAACATCCGCATCTCTCCCTTCCATTATCCCAGACGCATCAAAGAGAGGCCTCTTCCGGGGAAGGCCTCTTCTCAAACAGCACTCCTGTCTCCAAAATCACCTGCCCTTTCAAGAATCCCCATCCATGCTACTTCCATTGCCGGATCCTTAGCTCTCCCTACTGTTGTTGCTTACTCCCTCTCAGACCCTCAAACCCTCCGACCATCTTTTCCAGGCTAAACCTTGCTGCTTTACCACATCCTTTGTCCCCATCCCACCCGTCCACCCTCCAGGCTTTCATGGGGGAGGCATCTACTCGGACGGCGTCTCGCTCACGCTCTCCCAACCCACCTTCAAGCGAAACCAGGCCGTCAGCCCTTTCGGTGCCCGCTGCGGCCTCGGCGGCGCTGTGTTCACCATCCCTGGGCGCCGCAGCCAGGTGTCTCTCCGCTTCTGCAAGGCTTTCTTTCTGCGCAACATAGGCTGCATTCATAAAGTAGCCGACCTGGCCCTAGAGGTGCCTTCGCGCGACTCGGAATTTTCGGGGACATTGATGTTCTGTGGTGGGGTGAAGACACTTCGGTACTCCGTGCCTGAAGGGTGGAAGGAGACGAGAAATTGCACAGCCAGGTGAGATAAAAAGGTGACTGGGTACATTGGCTGAACAGCGTATAGCGCGCTCAGGGAACGAGTCGGTGAAAACGACTGGGGGCGATTGCTGTGGGAGCAGTGGGAGCATGTCGGCTGGGTTGGTGTTGTCCCAAGAGTGGGTGGTGGGTGGGTGGGTGATGCACGTCCAGGTGAGGGGTTATGGTTGGGTGCGGGAGGGAATGTATTGGGGGTGAGAGGGTGTGGGTGGGTGAGGGAAAGAGCATTGGGAGAAGAATGGAGAGAGAATCAGAGAAAATGCACAACCTAGTGTGTGTGTGTTTGTGTGCGCGCGCGCGCACGTGTGCGTGTGTGCGTGTGTGCGTGTGTGCGTGGGCATGCATGTGTGCACGAGGGGTGTGTGAGGTAGAGAGGGAACAGAGCAATTGCAAGCATAAGACCCGAAACCTGAGACAGAAGAAGAGTCACGAGCAAAGGCAGCAGCAGAAGAAGCAGCACAACGAATTGACCTTCTGTTCTTTCCCGTGCTCCACTTCTTGTAGGATGTATATTTTTTCCCGTTTTTCAAACTGGAAATTGTCCACACCGGCTCAGAAACTCATAGGACTCTCTGTTCGTGGCCTGCACTCCACTTCTTCTCTGTGCTCCCTTCCACCTGTGCTGCACTCCACTTTGCCCCTGCTCTTTCCTTTCTCCTCTCGTCCACCCTCTCAACCCCCCTCCCCCCTGTTTTCTCTCACTGGATGTCAAACCATCAGCTGCCACATTAAAAACCTGCCTCTCTTCTCTCGTTTCTCTCTTCCCGTTCCTCCATCGAAGCAGCACATGTCTCCAGTGATCGAGCCCTACCAGTCATGCTTCACCAGAGTCAACGCCTGACTTTTCAGTCAGCTCCTGGATTTTCTGTTAACTCCAGGCTTTCCGCTGGAGCCCTTCACATTCATCAAGAGTCATGCTTCCAAGGCATGAGATTTCAAACACCAAGCTGAAGATGAACCAATACCTAAAGGTGCCTAAGCAAGCTTCTGTTCCAGATGGCTGCTCAACACCTGGCTACGCACCTGGCTACACACCTGGCTATGCACCAGGCTACAAACCTGGCTACGCACCTGGCTGCATCGTTGTAACGGATGGCTGCCATGCAAGAAGCACCCAGGCCTTGTGTCAGTCATCTGCTATTGTTCTTTAGGCTTCCTTCCTCTTGCCGCAAGTTCGGCAAATCCTCCTCCTAAAACTTATTCTAGAGCAGTTTTTGTTGGCCAGTGAAATCTTCTTACGATTCCTTTGTTTTGGTTTTGTTGAAATCTCTTATTCGCCTCAATCGCATCCCTAATGGAGACCCATACCTTCACCCTTAACTTCCCCTTTCTCATAAAGCACTCAGCTTGGCTAGGGCTGTCCGAAGGATAGGGGAATATAGTATGGTCCTATTGGTAGCAGGCTTTATGATTTTTTCTCCTACGGATGTTTGTACCATTATATGACGAATATGTATTGTAGACTTGCCGTAACCTTAATCCACCCATCCCCGCCATTTCTTTACCCGAAATCGCCATTCGCGCCGTGGCGTCAGGCATGCATAACTGCACTCCCTGAGATGCGGTGGAATCGCCGCGAGTGCCGCCTGTCAAAATTGAGCACGAATCTGTTCACAAGGTATGAATTTTACAGCTGCGCTGCGCAGGTTTCTTGTATCCCTTGCACATCAGCTCGTGACTAGTTTCTCCTCCACGGTTCAATACGTTAAACTACGGTGTTAAACCGCAAATGTATTTCACCGCTTTCAACCATTGTGCACCAAACAGAATCCTACTAAGTGAATTGCAAAAAAACAAAAATGACCCGCTTAGCATGAATGTAGCATGACCCACCCTAATTATTGTTAAGAATTGAGATAAGGACAAAAGAGTATGATTGCACACTAGAATAAGACAAGAGTGAATAGTGGAACTGTAGCATGAGCTTGATAGAATAGAAGATGAAGCTTAGAGCTTGTGACTATAAAGAGAAACTTGTGTAAGGTGGAATGCTTGATGAAATAAGATTTCAAAAGAGAAGAAGAGTGTGAGATTGTTAAGAGAATAAGAAAAGTGATAAACTCTTACTTGAGTGAATCTTACTAGGGATAGTTGTAGAAGTAACTTGAGAGAAGAACTTCAACTTGAGGGTTTTACTTGGGAGTGACTTCAAGCCTTGGGTAGGATGATGGTCCTTCCTTTAGCTTGTAGCCTGGAGCTTCCTTATACTCTAGTAGAGTATGGGGTAAGCGACTCTTCACTTGATAGCTGCTTTGTAGTCTAGGTGAAAAGGAACTTTATGAGCATAAACTTATATTGAAAGAGGTATAGTACAAGCCATATAGATCCACGAGGGATACATAGGCATGCATAGAGAAAGTAACCATCAATGGTAGCCTTGGAAGAGAGTAGCATGAGAGTATCAACTTTGGAGATATAGAACTTGGTTGCTAGTGAGGAGCCTTTGTAGTAGAAGAGGAGCTTGAAGGAGAAGCTTGGAAAGGAGCTTGATGAAGAAGCTTGGAATGCATTGTTGTCATTGAAGAACCTTCTTGAGAAGTTGTAGAGATGCTTGATGTAGATGAGTAGTATTGGAGCATGTGGTGGTGGTTGAGCACTTGGTGGGTTGGAGATGTAAGCCTTGTTGAGTTGGAAGAGAGCTTAGTGAGTTGGATAAGGATGAGTGGAGGAGATGATGAGCTTTGTTGCCTTGGAATAGGAGGTGATGGGATAATCATGAAGTCATTGAGGGATGAGTTGGCAACTTTGGTGACTTGGGAAAGGAAGGAAGGAAGGAAGGAATAAATAAGAGGCATGTGGAGGTTGATGACTAGGAATTGGAAGCATGTGCCTCGAAGGCACATGGAGGGAGGAATATTGGAGGAGGTAGATGACTTGGATAATATTTGGTGAGTAAGGAAAGAAAGCACATGGAAAATCATGAGGAGTCATGTACCTTATGGTGGGACTTGGAGGTGAATAGAAAAAGTTGTTGAAGTCTTAGTTGAGTTGGATTAGGAATGGCTATGGTGGTTGGGAGTAATTAAAGAGGTGGTTGATAGGCTTGAGTTGGAGAGGATGAGTTGGAAAAGGAAGTTTGTAACTTGGGTGGTTGGAATGGGCTTTGGAGGAGTTGAGTGGTTTGGATGGGTTCTTAGGAAAATGTGTCGAGGGTGTTTTGAGGGGAAGGGGTTGGAGTGGCACAGTAGCGTGGCACGTGAAGAGCGTGCCATTCACAACACTCCCCCTCACTGCATGCCCGTACCCTCAAATCCGACTGCTGGGACTAACCCGGCTTGAACTCGGTTGTTGATGAAGATGTCGCGTGCAACAACCTTGGTGAGGAAATCCGCCGCTTGCTCACTCGTGCGGTAAAACAGGGGCTCAATAATTTTCTGCTCCACAAGCTCTCGAACGTAGTGATACTGCGTCGCGATGTGCTTGGTCCTTCCATGGAAGACGGGGTTCTTGGTCGACGTGTTGTCAATGAAGATGGGAGTAGGGCTCTCTTGTGGGAGGTCAAGCTCCTTCAAAAGACCTCTTATCCACACTGCTTCTCGGGCTCCTTGGGTCGCAGCCATGTACTCTGCCTCCGTGGATGATAGAGCCACACAGCTCTGCTTCTTTGACTGCCAAGAGATGGCCGCCCCTCCAAGCATGAAGATGTATCCTCCAGTGGACCTGCGGGTGGTGATATCCCCAGCCCAATTTGCATCTGTGAAGCCATACAGCATGCTTGCACCCTCAAACCCTTGAAAGAGGAGACCAAAGGAAGAGGTTGATTTGAGATAGCGCAGAGCATGAAGTGCTCCACGCTGATGCATGCGAGTGGGTGATGTCATGCATTAAGAGAGCATGGCAACGGTATGGGCGAGATCGGGACGGGTGCAAATGGAGGCGTACATAAGGCTGCCCACTTGGCTCTGGTAGAGTGAGAGCTCAAGAGGTGTGATATGGGATGTGGAGTGTGGTGCGTAGGTGTCATGACCAATGTCCTCAGGAGGCTCAAGGCTCTCGATCTCACCCTCAAGCTCTGTGACCTCTGTCTCAACAGTAGAAGGGTCAATGCTTTGCTCATGCGAGCTTAGCATGAAGTCTGAGGGGAGTGGGGTCTCAACTGGGTTGCAGTCAAGGAGACCAAACCTTGAAAGGACCTTCTCAGTGTACCTCTGCTGTGAGATGAAAAGTGACTTGGTGGTGCGGATGAGTTGTGTTGTGTGGCTAGCGGTGTCAAACTGTCTCCAATCTGCCCCCAAACTGTCCCCAATCTGTCATGACAAGACACTTTCGGGACACTTGAATCGAAAGGTTCCAATTCGAAACTCGTGTACACCATAACCAGCGCCTTAGCAGAAACTGTCCTGAATCTGTCCTGAGACACTTTCAGGACAGATTTGAAGGTCACGAGTTCGAATCCGAGCGTAGACATTTTGTTGCCTATGGCAGCATTTCCTTCTAACAGCCGCTCGCGTTTCTGGCGGAGGGGAAGGGGGAAAGCGGGACGGAGGGTGAAAGCGGCGAGGAACGGGATGAGATAACGGAGGAACGATGGGAACGAAGAGAAGTATGCGACACAGCATAAACATGGGACGCGTAAAATGACAGATAAGACGCGCGACGACAATAATACCCTACGAATTTTAGGGTTTCGTTGAAGATCCCCGAAGCTCACTTGAAGATGGCGAGGTGAAACCGGCCGTCGAAAAATGTTGGGTCCGCGGAGCAGTTAGCCAATCGCGCACTAGCGTCCCCCGTCAGATTTCCGACGAACGTCAGATTGAGCGGAGGACCGCGCGGGCCATCTGGTCCGCCAGGCCCGCCAGGCCCGCCAGGCCAGCCGGGTCCGCCAGATCCGCCAGGCCCGCCAGGTCCTCCGCGCGTCCCCCCGGGCTGCTGGCCCCCAGGAGGTCCACCGCCAGGAGGACCACGCTGAGCCGCCGCGGGAGTCGCAATGAGGAGCGCAATGCAAACTATGAGAAGTGCCCTGACTGCCATGGTTCTCGAGATCAGGAGGTCTGTCTAACAAAACCAGACGAGATAGATTGAGATGGGGAGAAGATAGCGAAAATTGAGATTCGATTGTGAAAGTGATGGAGGGATTGACGGGCGCAGTTTTAGGCAGCAGGTTTCGCATCGCACATGCATTCCTCGAATCCGGGGTTGGGCGTTGACTGGCGAATAGGTGGCTCCCGAGACGCGGTTTGACTGGTCAACAAGCGGAGAAAATTGCACTTCGTTTCGTGAGAGGGTGGGGTTTGGTATGGTTATGACGCGGTAAAAGTGCAAATATCGCAGGATCGTCTGCACATATCGATCCTCGCAATCGATTGGGCAGATCGATTTGCGAAACACGGCGATCGCGACGTTGTAACGATCGCTACTGAGATTTGACAGATCTCCCGCGATCAATGATCAGTCGCTTTCACAGACTGTACAAAAAATTGGGCCAAAAAGCGTACGGTAGCATGGTTACAGCGTAGTAAATAGGGTAACCAATCCGCACATCAATCGCGACTGACGATCGATCGTCTACTTTTACCGCGTCCTCAGTGGTCATGTGTCGTGGTGTTTGGGTGGTGGTCTTGTTTGGGCTTGGTGGTTGAGAGCGCTTGGAGCTCGGACAACGCATTTGTGTGTGGTGCAACCGACAACTCGTTGAAATTCTTCGGCTGGATTCAAGGCGTGGGTCAACTCACAATTGGAGTCGAAAGTGTAGTCATTTGGAGTACGGAATGGCTGGAAAATCTCTAACCAATCAGGAAACTGTTTACACCTAAACTATTGATACCTGATATTTGCAAAATTCATTAATGGTTCTTGATTATCCTTTCTGCACTGATGTACCCTGATTTTTCCCATTTTCATATCATAACCTGTTGAGCTGGTGGCATGATGTGAAGTTTCTACATACAGCCAAACTGGAAGGACTCTATTTCCAGGACGAACCACGCCAACAGCATAGCATAAGTTCCCACAAATGACAAATGAACTGTATGTGTCCAAGTGGCAGTGAGTACAACCGTTGAGCTCTTCAGAGACAAGCAGTCAAGGCCAACAGCCGCAATCACCCATGCGATCGTGCACAGCAGCCCAGCACCAGAACTGCACGTGCTCTTTCCACCGTGCCCCATTGATCAACCCCCGGTACATGCAGCCATGCCATACGCCCAAACACGTGCCCCCCAGTGCCTGCCTGCCACTCCACACGAGTCAAGTCACGGCGAAAGGCTGGTACTATCCTCCAAGGGGTCGTACACAGCGGCTACTTCACGTGCTCCTTCCACCGCGCCCTACTGACCACCCCCCGGCACAGGCAGCCATTCCATATGCTCTAACACATGCCCCTTAATGCCTGCCTCGCACTCCAAACGAGTGAAGTCAAGGAGAAAGACTACTGCTATCACTCATAGGATCGCACCCATAGGATCGCATCCATAGGATCGCACCCATAGGATCGCACCCATAGGATCGCACCCATAGGATCGCACCCATAGGATCGCACCCATAGGATCGCACCCATAGGATCGCACCCATAGGATCGCACCCATAGGATCGCACCCATAGGATCGCACCCATAGGATCGCACCCATAGGATCGCACCCGTAGGATCGCACCCGTAGGATCGCACCCGTAGGATCGTGCACAGCAGCCCGGCACCAGAACTGCACGTGCTCCTCTCCTTCCACCATGCCCTGCTGATGACCCCCCAGCATACAAGAAAATGACATCTTATACCGTCTCCTAGAGTCTAGCACTCTGCACTGCACAAGTCAAGGAGAAAGACTGCTGTTATCCCCCACGGGGTCGTGCACAGCGGCTCTGCACCAGAACTGCACGTGCTCCTTCCACCGTGCCCCACTTATCACCCCCCGGCAAACGCTGCACGTCACACTGCTGCCATCCGCTGCTGCATCCGCCACCACCTGCATGCGCCCCTGCTCCGCCAGTATCGCCTCCCCATCCACCCCATGCCTCCCTGCTGACTCCATCCCATATGCTGCTGCTGCTGGGACTATCCCTTGCCTCCCTGCTTGATCCATCCCATACCCTGCTGCTGTTGCTTGCATTCCATACCTTGCTGACGGTGTTGATCCATACCCAGAATGGAAGGCATATCCGTCTACTCCTTCCATTCCCCCGTTCATTGCTCCTTCCCCACGTTGCTCTCCTATGCTGTTGCTCCCCATGCCGCTCCCTCCTATACCCACGTCTCCACCTCCCCATGCCATCGCACTCCCCCCCGCCGCCATCTGCCCGGTGCCAGCTGGCACTGCCACGTCAGCGCTGCCGATGGCGCAGCGTGCCAGCAAGGCGGTGATGTCATCAGCTCCCTGCTGTAGCTGCTGCATCTGCTGCTGGTTGTGGTGCATGGCTCGGGCTTGAGTTAGTGCCGTCAGCACTGCTGCCTCCCCGCCCTGCGCTCTCAACACTGCTATGATCTGAGGGTGGGTGGAGGGAGGGGGAGAAGAGGTGGATAACAGGAAAAAATGCCGTGAGTCAACGCTCCCTGCTGTAGCTGCTGCGTCTGCTGCTGGTTGTGGTGCATGGCTCGGGCTTGAGTTAGTGCCGTCAGCACTGCTGCCTCCCCGCCCTGCGCTCTCAACACTGCTATGATCTGAGGGTGGTTGGGCGGAGGATGGGAGGCAGGGAGGCAGGACTCTGTTTTTGAGGCACCTCGAAAACACATTGTTGCCAGCACTGCTGCCTTCCCGCCCTGCTCTCTCAGCAATGCTATGATCTGAGGGGGATGGGCGGATGGGAGGGGGGAAGAAAGGGGAGGAAGGTTTTACTTCAAAAGAAGGAAGAAATATACTTAGCAGAGAAAAAGGCCTACACCTGGTAATGGTGAAGGGGAGGGCAACGATGCAAATGGCGCTCCGATCACTCGTCGTAAAACATTAATAATTTCCCATAATAACAATAATGATTTCAAATAATAACAATAATAATATTAAAAATTATGGTAATAATGATTTGGGCTGCCCCCAAAAACTCTGGCCAGGCATCCAGCGTGTGGGTGTGTGGATGCGTCCAGCCTCTGGACACTGGAAGCTCTGAAGGTTACCCCCCAGATAAGTTCAGCCCAACTTAGTTGGGTGGCCGTCAGAGCAGGCAGGCAGCTGGGCGAGAGGCGAGAAACGAGGGGCGAGAAATGGGGGGCGAGGGGCGAAGGCGGATTGTGGTGGGCCTTTGCAGGTTCACTAGTTGCCGCGACACAGCAGGCTTATCAATTACAAGGCAGCGGAGGGCTGTCGTTATTCACCCTCTGTCGCACCAGCTGCAGCATTTCCTGCATGTCCAGCCGTTGCGGCGAGGTGTGTTTTGAGTCGAGTCGGCTCAAAGAGCTCACGAATTGCAAGGTAGCAGACGGCTGTCCCTCATCCTCCCACCCTCATCCTACACAAACACCAACATTTTCACCTACTCTGGTGTCATACTCTAATCACTTGCTGCCACGCATTGAACCATGGCCTCTAAATGGGGTTCGATGGGAAGAGCTCACGAATTGCAAGGTAGCAGACGGCTGTCCCTCATCCACCCACCCTCTGCCGCGCCAGCTGCAGCATGCCCCGCACGTCCAGCCCGTGGGGCGAGGTGTGTTTTGAGTCGACTCAAACCACAGATGCTAACCGGTTGAAAGGCAGAGGCTCACCAGTTGCAGGGCAGCGGTCGGTTGTCCCTCGTCCACCCTCTGTCGAGCCAGCTGCAGCATTCCCGCACGTCCATCCCGTGGGGCGAGGGGAGAGGGGCGGGGGGAGCTGTGATGGTTCCCTGCAGGGCACAAAAGGCTCACCAGTTGCAGGGCCGCGGAGGGTTGCCCCTCGTCCACCCTCTGCCTCGCCAGCTGCAGCATTCCCCGCACGTCTAGCTCGTGGGGCAAGGGACCTCCCTGAAACGCGGGATTCGCCATCGACTGATGCGGTATTGGCTACAGCGATTTTGCGAATGTGCGTGCAGCAGTGGAGGGAAGTCACGTTCGTTTGCTGGATTCCCGCGGGCCAGAGGGCTGCGAATGAACATGTGGCAGTGGATGAGGAGGGAGAAGGCGGGAGGTGGGGGGGGGAGGAGAGGGGAGAAGGAGAGGGGAGGGGGAGAGGGGAGGGGGAGAGGGGAGGGGAGAGGAGAGAGGGGAGAGAAGAGAGGGGAGAGAGGAGAGGGGAGAGGGGAAAAGGAGAGGGTAGAAGGAGAGGGGAGTAGGGGACGGGAGAGGAAGGGGGGGGAAGGAGAAGGGAGAAGTGGAGGGCAGGGCGGGGGGGTAGAGGGGAGTGGGAGAGAGGAGAGGAGAGGGGAGAGGAAGAGGAGAGAAGGAGACGGGAGAGGTAAAGGGGAGAGGGAGTGGGGAGAGGGAGAGGGGAGAGGAGAGGGGAAAGGGAGAGGGGGGAGGGAGAGGGGAGAAAGAGCATAAATGGAAGAAAGTGTGGGGAGGAATGAAGAAAGCGTAGGTGGGAGAAAGACGGCCGTGATGCGAGTAGGCAGAGGGAAGTAACGGGGCTAAGCGCGAAGCAGCAGGAAGAATGCGAGTTCACTCAAAAGAGCGAGGAGGAAGAGGCGCGAGAACGCTGATCTGACGCAACTGACGCGCAGTGAGGCGATCGATGAATGAAACGCGTCCGTTGCGACAGATTAAATGCGACAGTTGCGACAGATTTGATTGAAGCGGCGATGAACAGAGAAACCAGGTAGCAACGTGACGAAGTCACTATTGCGAATGTTTTGAGAGTAACTGCAGTAAGGCGCGAGTGCAGATGGCGACGACGCAGAGCTGAGCGGCTGCTAGCGAAAGAAAAGGGCTGCTAGGGCGTGTAACCAAACACTCGCATTCGCTCAATACCCAAACCAACCGTTCTAGATGCAGAACCGAACACGCTAAACCACAAAGCACCTCGTGACTCGACCTCTATCAGGTGTGTACGTTTGGGACGATAGACTGCGCGGCTTCTGAAGGCGTGACTCGGACGCAGCTTACTGATCACCGTAAGCCCGCTCACGCACCTGGCAAGATGGCAAGCGATCCGGGATGCTTTGACGGAGCAAGATGACCAAAAGTGATAGGAAGATTCTACGCTAACTTGCTGTGAAGAACTAGAAATGGAGGTAGGGTCTGTTGGAGGTAGGGTCTTAGAAAGGTGGGCATCTATGTAAAGTCTGATGCGAATATCCTTAAACCGTACTAAAACACATACCACATCTGAATCGCAACGAATGCTAGGATACGTGGGAAAAGCCTGAAGAGAAAACGTGTGTAGTAGAAGGTAATGGTGGAGGAAGGAGGTCAGAGCCAGTGCTGCCGAATTAGGGCGTGATCTGTCAATGAATGGATGCCCTCGTACTCTGTACGGCCTGATTGGATGCTCAAGTTCGAGAGCACCGAGAAGTGAATCACAAGAACCGTCGCGTAACTTCTATCACCGTAGTTCAACGTACTATTCAAGATGGACCGAGAAACCTTTGCTGCTTTCTTGCACGTTTCGTGGACTACATCAAAACGCGGATCTTCCCGAGGGTCGCAGGCATGTAATCCGAGGATGGAAGTTCGACCCTCAACCACGCCAGGTTCAAGCAAAAAACTTCTGCACCCTGTCCAGCCGCATACAGCCCCGTAACAGAAATGATCCAGAGGCAAACCGAACCAGGCCTTCCTTTGACAACACCTCGCGACGAGATACGTGTAATAACGCGTACGTAGCCATATGATCGTGTAGCAGTGCCAACCTCTCGTTGCGCTG